AGAAACTATAAAAAATTTAACTCTAAGATTATCATACAAGTTCAAAGCAACATAAATAGTAAAAACAAGCAACTTAATAGTCATTAACAGGAATAAAGTTAATTGAACTAAATTGTCCAAACTAGGTTACTAGGCAAACAACGTAAGAAAATAGCTACTTTATGGGTTTCTACATTTCTCTGGCTGTATCCTTGTAACTGTGTAATACCTAGAGAGAAGTATAAATGATATTCAATAAAATTGATACCTTTCAGGAACGAATTTCAGATGAATTTTACTCTTCTTTAATTTTCCATATTATTTTTCTTTTTTAAAAATTACTTTTATAAAACCTTAAATATTAAAAACATTTTAACCTTTTATAAAAGAACAAGCATTCTATGCTAAGAGAAACATAAGAGTCAAATCACAAATTTACCACACTTCAGCACATAATAGTAAATTCTATATACAACTCTGCTTATCTGCTTGACAAAACACATTTTTAGGAGTAAATTAAATAAATGAATACTCATGTCATTTTTTTAAGGTAAAATCAGTGTTTGAGGTAAAATAATCATGACCTTAGAAATCAAATGGGTATGGCTTTGAAATCAGTACAAAACCTCTCTCTTGGGTCTTAACTGTAAAATAAGAACAATCCTCAACAAACTGGTGCGGATTGTGACATTATTAACATAATCGAAATGTGGGGGGACCCTGATAACACTCTCGGAGTTTCCTCTACACACTGTACACACTACCCTTGAATAAAAACACAGAGGCAGCTGACTGGAAACGTACCGTGTGGCAGTTGTCAATCTAAGAGGGGAATCAGGGGAGGTAAAAGGGGGTTCATTGGTAGAGGAACAGCCTGTTTAAAAAGACACAGCATGGGGGTAAAAAATGATTGGGTCTTTCTGTGAGAGTAAGAATTTCCACAGGGTGGAATGGAGCAGATACCAAAAGGAAGAACAACACTCTCTCTGTGCTTCAGCTTTGCTAGGCTTAGAAAATGACAGCATGCTACAGGATGTCTCTAAGTTGCAACAGAAATGAACAAAAGTTCTTCAAAAGGACTTCTCACCAAAACATTTCTCTTTGAAATGGACAGAGGAAGTAGTAATTGTAACTCAATACCTGCATGCCACTGTGAAAAAATTAAACCTTGTTGGCTCACTCTTGCAATTCACTCACTCTGTTTGTCCTTAACCTGTATTCTTTTCCTTCAAAGCACCAGGCAGTATCTCATGCCACATTTACTTGTTGGGCACTGTCTTTTCTATCAGAATATAAACTCTTACAAGCCAGGGCTCTGTTCTGTTAACCACGAATTCCTAGTGCCTAGAACAGTATCTGACACTTAGGTAATACTTATGTGAATAAAACTGCAGATTTTATTTATTATAATATTTGTTAAAAATGAATTTATCCTTATTTTGAAGGTATTAGGTTTATACAGAAAAACAGAACTCTATATAAATCTTCTGTACAGAGATGAAAATTTTTAAAATAAGATTAGAAAAATTAAAAAGTTTGTACACTAGTAGCTAGATCCAGCTTCACCTTAATAGGATATAATGCCTCTGCATTTGGAAACAAATATATTTATATACTTTGAATGACTAGTGAACTCTCCCTCCCCAAAACTTAGGTATCTCTGCTATAAACAAAAACAATTCTCTTTCCAGTAAAATTTAATGCTATCTCTATTTTGTATTTTTGTTAGTTTTATCAGAAAAGTAAAGCTGTAACATTAAATTTTTCATGATAAATCTCTTCTGGCATGTTACATTCAAAACTTTGATTCTGTTTACATTTTGTGAATACTGTCTTTAAAAAGACAGGCAGCCTTCTATCCAGAATTTCAATATAGCCTTCTGGGGCCAGGGATTTAGTTCAGTGGTTCTGCCACCTGCCTCACAAGCGCAAGGTCCCAAGTTCAATCCCAAGTACAAAAAAAAAAAGAAAGAAACAGACAAATTAATACAGCCTTCTACCCCAGAATTACTCTATCCATACTCTCATTTTCTCTGTTCATACTCTTCCATACCCTTAACTCATTTATTAAAGCTTAACTGGCTCTGCCAAATAGAAAGGTTCTCTGCTTTCAGAATCTCCAGGATGTTTACAATGAGAATAACCATAATCAATATTGAGTCACTGGCACCCTAAACTAACATACATGAAATGATTAGTGAAACCTATGATTCCAACTAAGAAACAAACTATCCTGTAAGTGAAATAGAAAATTTTGATATTTGCAAAGCTATTTGTCACAACTTGTGAAATTGCTTTATTGAATACTATAAAGATAAAACTTAATTGTTTTACCAGCTATTAAAGAACTTGAGTTCTGAAAAAAAAATAAAAAAACAAAAAAACAAACCCAAAATGTTGGCTCACATGATCTTTAGCTAAAAGTTAATTAGATCAATAATTCTGATAATATCCTGGGGCAAATCGACCCACGGATTTGCTGGGATATGTTCATAGTACTAAGTGACAATGCTCATTCATTCACTCAGGAATAACACAGCTTCATCACATCCCACCATCAAACACCATGTAACAATCCAACCGGAGCTACACTACAAAAACGTAAGCTTCTCCACGTTGCTAGGTAGTAACGAAATTCCACAAGCAGGATGAGTTATCCTTCCACCCAGGCGGGTTATCAGACAAATGACATCTTTGACTACTGTCTTCCTGTTTATAATCGTTTCTCAAATGTCACTTTTACCAGTGTCAGTACTTCTCAACTTTTTTTAGTTTTTTTATTTCTACTGGTACATTATATAACTCATTTATTTTTACATCCCTTTACCTTCCCTCACTGCCAATCCATTTTTAGTACCTCTGAAATTTTAGAGGGTATCAAATTTATCTGTGGACCAGGGCTGTGCTAGTTTAAATGACAGGCTCCATAGATACCTTGTACCCACCAGAGTCCTCCAGGTGACAGCCTAAGCCTTATGCCCTTGGAGGGTTCACAAGAAAGAATAAAACTAGTTCTCATTATCCTTTACAATTTTATCACATTACTTAAAAACAATGCCTTTATTAGTAGTAGTTCCAATTTTTTGTCTATTCTTAAACTGAGTGCTGTAATGAAAGAACACACAATACAGTACAGTGATTGTGAACTTTTTAGAACTTTCAGTGGTAACAAACAGCTGGCTGCAGCAAGTGTGCCATACGTTTCCCAGCACTGGCATAGTGTACAACAGAATGCAAAGAAAACATACTGATCTTAATGCTGTTTTTTATTAAAATCTTTCTTAATATCAAACTTAAAAATTTTTTCTATATTTTTTAAAAATCTACAATATTAAGGGGCAACACACTTTTCTGTTCCCCTTCTGTCTTGCCTAGAAGCTTTCTTTCCCTCAATAAATTTTTCCTACTCTTAAAAAAAAAAACTACAATATTAAGAACATACCACAACATGCACAAGCATCAAAATACCAGGCCACAGAAAGTTTCAGCATATGCTTATCACAGTACTGTATAACCTGCCTCCTATTCTTATCACGGTAATAGCCAAACCCAGGCACCGACACAATGCAAACCCAGGAAGAAGTATCTAATGTGTGTTAATATTTATGTTTTTAAATTTATTTTTATTGAGTTTACTGGTACATTTAGGTATACTTTATGATTATATTCATCACTGAGAATTGTACCTATACATGATATATCTTGATTTTTTTCCCATTCCCTTGCTCTCCTTTCAACCCCTCCACCAGCCCATATACATAAGCTTTGTTTCCATTTTTTCCTTCTTTCAATTTCTTTCTTTCCCCTACCTCCTATCCCTAGTCCCCTGCTTTAAACATATTTATGTGTTTTGATAATCCTGAAAGTTCCCATAAATTCCCTCTGAGTTCTCATAAGCTGGTCAGAACATGAAATATCCCGTCCAACCTGGGTAAATAAGCTCCTAAACCACACTTCTAAAAGGCACTCAACTAACCACACATCTCAGGAAACACTTGACTTTTCCAATCCTCTAAGAGTGAATCTCTAAATTTTGTTGTTATAGTACAGAGGCTAAAAAAGACACAAAAATAGATTTAAACATCATAGAGAAATGAGTTAAATCTCTTAAAATAAGGTTATGTTTAAAATCTCTCTTTAAATTGGCTACAGCAAAGTATGAAATATATGGTAAATGCACAGCTATTCCTATAGCTGGCTTGCTCTAGCGCAAGAGAAAATTTTCCAATGGAAAAGAGGCAGATTCTTAACATGAAAAACACTTTTAATAACTGTACTTTTCACATATAAAAGTGAATTCATAATATTAATCTACTATAATGGGAGAAGATTAAGTCATAGTATATTTAGGTCACCTACCCATTATTTTCAAGTACCAGATAGAATTTCTGTGACTCTAAAGCATATTACAAAGGCTGAGGTCAAGCATTACCTAAACATTCTTTGGAGGCGTTTGCTATGTGTCACAGATAACCATACTGTCCACCATCCCTTACATTTCCCAATTCACTGGTTATTTGTATGGTAAGAGATCACCAGTGAGAAAAAAATAAATTACTAAAATATTAAATTAAAAGAGAAGTCCCTATAACTCTCATTAAGAAATTTAAAAAATGAGAAAAAGGCTGGGCACAGGGATGGTGGGGAGAGGAAACCAATAGCTTCTGAGGGGGATTAAATAATGATCTTCACAAACTGAGTCCTTTTTTTCACTTGAAACTTTAAGAGCAGTATACTAAATCTTTCTACATAGTCTCACTTTTGATTATTCTTGTCTAGAAACACTAAAGCATTATTTTTAGAAAAATGCTGAATATTATGTTTTTTAAATATCACATGCCTTACAGGATCTATGATAATTTTCAGACAGACTACATTAACAGATACTACCTTTTTAAACATTTATACATCTTAAAGCAATATGGTTGGAAAGAACCCAAGTTTATAAAGACTTGCAGTCATTCACAAATGTGCACAGAAAAAAAAAATCTGTTTTACCAAAATAAACAAACTTCACTTACTTGTGTTGATCAGAAATTGATTTGACACACCAGGATGATCTACGTCATGTATTGCACTGGCAAAAATTGCTGCAAGAATCTCCAAATCTGTAAACACAGCCTAGAAAAAAATATTACATATTACTGTTCTATAGTGGCATGAATGGAAAAGAAACAACTTCTTAGAAATCAGATGAAAAATAAAGCTTCACAATATACCATGATGTATTAGTCTTAGAGAATTAGATACCCACCAGTATTTTAAGTACAATTTGGTAAGAAAATATTTTATCTGTATATATGATGAAAAACTTTATTCTTTTCAAATATTATAAAAAGTCTCTGAAATTATTTCTGAAGAAAATATTTTGTAAGTAATAAAATTAATTAGGACAAGAGTAATTATTTTCTTTCATCCAAACGCAATTCTCAGCCTCAGCACTGCTGACATCTTGTGCCAGATAACACTTTGCCTTTGTAGCGGCAGGGTGTCCTATATATTATAGGATTGTTAGCAGAATCCCTGGCCTCTACCCACAAACATGCTATTATCATGTACAACCAAAAACATGATAGTTGTGACAGCCAAAAATATCTCCAGACATTGCCAAATGTCCCTGCTTACTGGTGGAAGCAAAAAAAAAAAAAGAGGGAAGGAGATAAATCAAGTCCAATGGAGAACCACCCACCCAAGTGAGACTTTAACACAATTTTAGAATGAAAAGAAATCCAAACTGTACATCTAGGCCCCTAAATGATTAAGGAAATCAAATTGCTAAAGTAAACACTTAATGGAACAACTTAGGATTTGGAAAAATTAAAGTATTTCCTTTTAATAATTTTTTGGGGAAATGTCAATGTCTTGTTTATATTTAATATAGTCAAGTTAATAATCAGATTCTTTGAACAAAAAATACAAAAGCCGTCAGACTCTATTTCAAGAAAACAAACTGACCAATAATCTAAAAACTAGATGTGCTTTATGAAATGTCCATGGGTCATTTAAAAGCAGCAGTATTATAAACAGGTGAATCCCTAAATCTCTGATCAATTTTCACAGGCGAAATTCATCATTCAGCTCTTTACTAACCACATTTTTTCTGTTATAAATCAACATACTTCCCATGAAGCCTAATGCTGTTTGCAATGCAGACCCTTCAGTTTATAAAAGTTTAAGAGCTCTTTATGAGTGGCAGGTTATTGATCTTGAAATTCTAGAAAAGAGATTCACCTCCAAAGCAGGTGTGGATAATAGTACATGAGTAGACTGAACAACGTCGGCAGCATGGATGTTGTTGTGATAGGCCACATCAGCATGGTAATGGTCTTCCAGAGTCATAAGATATGTAATTAAAGTGTCTACTGGAATTTTAAAAGTTTTTAATAAATCCCGTTCCTGTTGGAAAAGAAATCCTGTTAACACATTTGTCTTTATAAAAATAAACAAACAAAAAGAGGTTCTATAGAGTATGTGAGAAAAAAAAAATCACACATCAGTGTTCCCTATGGATAATCCAGAAACAGAAATACCACTCTTTCATATGTCTCCTGGGGAAAACGGAAACATTCAGAAAGCTCCAGTTTCAGGAAATGGGATAAAACCATAGCTGAATTGTCCTTCTGGAGGCTAAGGATGCTGTATTGAAGGTGGTGGAGTCAGAAATGAACTACAGACTGTAACAGTTCTTGTGTCCCTGCTCAAGCAACATGGACCCAGCCCCTTGGTCACACCCGCTGAACTTTAACATTTACGCTAGGGGGACAGCTTCCTACTCCACCACAAGGGATCAGCCACAGTCTCAAATTCTCATTTAAATACTTCTTGAGCTGGGGCACAGGCTCCCAAGAATGAAAAACAGATATGGAAAGCACAGTAAAACGCAAAAAAAAGGCAGACTGAAGAAACTATACTCTGAGGTTATGTCTACCATTATCAATGCAAGTTGGGGTCATGGAGATGATTTTTAAACTATTGTTTTAGCAGATTGCTTCAATTCATATCACATCTTTAGAAAGAAGATAAGAAAATTGAGTTGTGTTTTACCCACATTTTACCTTTCTGTATCTTTGTCCCTTGATAAGGGAGCAAATAAGAATTTTAGAAGTAGAAACATAAGGAGCCGGGGATTTAGCTCAGCAGTTCAGTCGCCTGCCTTGCAAGCACAAGGACCTGAGTTCAATCCCCAGTACCAAAAAAAAAAAAAAGAAGTAGAAACATAAGCAAAAGATGGCAAATAATAAGGAAGACAAAATGTGCTCATTCTCCACAGTCTGGAAAGCAAGTCTCTGAATAAAAGAAACATGGTAGAAGTCAATCATGTTACCTGAAAAATGGTGTGCATGATAACAGTCAGAGGCCGGTTACCAGATAATTCTGCTATTCTGAAAACATGAAGACCCCATTTGTTCACATCTTCTAGTTCCTGGGGTTGAAGAAAGATACCAAAATATGAGACAGTGGAAGAACATGAGGCAGTGAATGCAGCATTTAAAATTACTGACTTCAGTGCAAAGATGGTTAGATTATTTCAAACAAAGACTCATTTTACATGTAATGCATGCACCATTAAATAAGGCAAATTCATTTAAATGTACTGAAAACTGAACAATATTACATTATGATTTGGACAATACATCAGATTCACACATTTTGAATATCAAATCTCAAAGTACTTATTCAGTGGATAAAATTTATACACAGACACTGTGTTGTTTTACTAAAACCCAGAAAAGATAGCAGACTTCTACCTTTTCAAGGTCAAAAAACAATGAAGTTGCAAAGAGTAAGAAAGTAAGAAAAGAAGTTGCAAAAAAGTATACGTGAAGCCACCTGCTAAACTCACATATTAATAAAACCCAAATAATTCACATTTAAATTTAATGCACTTATTATAATTATAAATTTATTATAATTAAATGCATTTGAAAAAGTGCATTTCTATCTTCAACAAAAGACAATACAACCACACACAGTAATGAATTTTCCACCCATGTAACAGAAGGAATCAAAATTCATGCAAAGGCATCATTTCATACTTATCATAAATGCTCTTTGAAATGATCTTACCTTGGCCAGGACATCTTCTTGTTCTGTTTTTACCCCAAACCTTGGGATACTTGAATTAGTCAGACTAGAACTATGCATCAACTTCTTGACTCCACTGATTTGAGACATTGGTCTTTTCTTTTTCTCCTTTTCCTTCTGAGTTGGAGAAGGAATTTCCACTTCATGTTGCTTATCTTAAAAAATTTAGAAAATTTTCTACATTATTAACTCTACTTGTTTTTATAATCATAGTATGCATAATCAGATTGTAATTGAACAGTATGTATTCTAGGAAATGTTTCAAAGTAACACTTTTCCTTGTAGCGTATTTACAATTCGATGTAGACTTACTTTGAGATTCTCAAAACACCAAATTAAACAAAAAGTAAACAAAAAAAACACATCACTAACCCAAATAAAATGTGTCCAGTAGTTACCTTTTGATAGAATGTCCTAAGAAAATATTTGCAAGACTTATGAAAACAGGTTTGCAGAAAGCAGAACGCTTGGTTATTTCCACTGTTCACCAACTCTATTCCTGTTTGAAATCCACCCAGTGGCTTGAAAACTACTCTTGTCACAACTAAGAACTTCAGTTTCAATACAAACTTTAAAACTGTAGAAGCTTTATACACAAATGTAATAAAAACAGAGATGTATGAACTTAACAGCTAACTAAAACATGTCAGACTGCAGGAAATGAAACAGCATTTCTAAATGACTTTGATTACTTCTGTTGCTTTTTGTTTCTATACTAAGTGAGATAAGGACTATGATGTAATTAGGTTTTATGGGGACCACAGAGAATCCCAAATGTCAGTCAAGCAGTGAGTTTCCACATATATTACTTGCTGTTTTCTATTGTAAAAGACATAAGATACCTAGGAGTATTCATCCACCATCAAGGGCAGTGATAAACCTTAATTCATCTGGGTACATAGTAGGTGTTCAATAAATCTCTATTTAATAATATGCTAATTAGTTGTTAGAGAAAATTTGGTTTGAAAGTAAATCCAGACAAACAAGATACTCAAATTACTGACATATGTATTGCATTTCATTTTTGCATATGAAGCAGAGGGGTTGTGCTAGAACACTATATTCTTTTTTTAAATTTATTTTTTTTGAACACTATATCCTTTAACTATTACCAGCCAACTTTTCTATAGCAGTTTTGCTGTTTTTGCACACCACTTAAGGGCAGAGACCATTTCTAATTTATCATTAAATATATAGCACCAAACAAGTGTGGGATTTGAAAAGCATCTGTTGATTGTATGCCTATATAAAAATAAATTTTACAATTGCTATGAAAAAAGCTCCACTGGAGATACAGCTCAGAGGTAAAGCACCTGCCTAGCATTGTCAGCATCACTTAATGAATATATAATGAAAATTTACTGTCATCTCATACTGTAAGTTTTAGAGGTACACTGTCTTGAATTATTAATATGAAGAATAAAAACAAATGGAATTTAAAAAACGTATTTGGTTTCTAAAATGAGCTGGTATTTTAATCTGCCTCCAAAAAACAAACAAGTAAACAATTTTTAAAAAATCAAAATTTCACGTTGTTTTCTCACCTAAGAATGTATTTGATATATACTCTGACACTTGATTTCCAGACCGACTCATTTCAGAGAGATGGGTGAGCTCCCGATTAAGCATCCTTTTAAACTGAAAAGCAAAAACGCAAAATGAAATAACAGAAGAGGAAATTTTAAGTGAAACAACATAAGCATACTTTGAGGCACAGAAAGCTACACAGAATTTGGAGCAGCAGTATCAAAGAGAACTTTGTGCAGTGTTGGAAAAACACCATAATGTGCTGTCCGTGACAGTAGTCAACTAGGCAGACACACAAATTAAACACTTAAAATGTGGCTAGTGAAAATGAGAAAATGAATTTTGACTTTCATTTTTTTTTTTGGCAGATTCCTAATTTCAATTTATTTTTAAATTGAGTTTATTGGTACATTTTAGGTATACAGTACAGTTACACTCATTGTTGGGATCTTGTACCTCTACATGACAGGGCTTGGTTCTCATTTTTTCCCCTTGTCCCTGCCCTCTCTTCACCCTCTCCTCCCCTCCCCATTTACAAACACTTTATTTCCATCTTTTCATTTTCTCACATTTTTTTTCTTTTGACTTTCATTTAATTTTAATTAGCTTCATATAGTCACAAGTGGCTCGTGACTGAATAGCATAGATTTTGAAACTCAATGACATTAATGGTAAAAAGAATTTAAAAATTAAGAGATTAGCATTTACAGAAAAAAATGCAACTTATAAACAAAAATAATTCTACACAACTCAACATGGTACACTGTTATCAATTTAGCAAAACAATATATAGTATTGGCCAAGGTTATAGTCTACTCTTTGACCCAGGGAAGAAATGGAATATTTATCTGAATACTCTTTCAGGACTATGAAGAAATAAACTGAGTAAATACTATGTAATATTTCCTTTTAAAATAAGTTTTTTTTTTCAATTAGGAAGTGCAAGATTTATTGGTTCTCAGAATCCACAGAATATGCCACTCCATTACCCAAGCGACAACATAGAAAACAAGTCAATTTTCAAAATTCTACTTCATTACCTCACAAATTTATTTCACCATATTACTTCACATAGACGCACAGGAATTAACCCACCACACCAGCATATAACATTCCTAGTATCTAAAATTCTCCAGGATTTTGTATTTCCCTCATCAGCTGCTTCTTAATGTCTTCCTTTAATTCTGAAATAGCCCAACTCATAAGATTTTTAAATATGCTCTTAATAGTGTTCTTAACAGATAGTAACAGTTATTTCAATATACAAAATAAGTGTTATTAGATACTTAACCATAAAAGCCAAACACTTTTTAATCTTTAGTAGCCTATAAATATTTGAGTTTCCCTATAAATTCTCATGTAAGTCTGGAAAGTGAGTTTATTAGAATTTTCAAAAAAGACTGCTTCTCTAATTCAGACTAAGGTGGTTTAACTAAAAATAGTTTAAAAATCTCTTCCAAAGTCAATTTTATTGACCATATAAATTAGGTGTAGAAATTTAATTAAGACCACAAAATAATAGTATGACAAAAAAATCCAAACAATAGTTTGTTGGATATAATGAATGCATATCATCATTCTCTTGTAGTCAAAAATGAAGAATTGGTCACTTTGAATACAAGTTCTAATTTTTTTCTTTACAGGTTTATGGATCTTATTCTCAAATCCAGGGACATACATTTTATTTTTTTTCATATATTTTTATTCTTGCTAATTATAAAATGCACACAAACAACAACAGAAAATCTAAAAAGCTGTATAGATAAAAAAGAAGCCATGTAACTCTTCACTGCTCAAAGATAACCATAAATACTTTAGTTGTATTTTCTTCTATGTCCTTTTCTAACTTTGTATGTATATTTTTATACTGACATCATATGATATACAAAAACGTAAGTTTCTGCTTGTTTTTATTTAACATTACATATTATTATCTACTGGAAAAAATTTGAGCATTTCTAAAAGAATATTCATAAAGACATTTACACTAGTGTTCAAAATATTTTTTGTCCATCCTCACAAGTTACATTTTCTTGAGTAAATGATTGGTTATTTACCAGTTATATGAAAAGGTCTTATATTTAACTTGGGACATAACAATATTATTAAGGTCTTTCTTCCAGTGCCCTTTCTGACACTCAGTCCCTGACTTCTTATACTGATGGCTGACTTATATCATTACAGGACACACAGATGAAGGGCTTGATTATAGAGTGCCCCTTCATCTAATTCCATAAAAGAATTGGGGGCAGTATTCATAAGGGAAACTGGCTATATTTCAAAAACACTGTATCATTTGTAAACTCTCACAAGCAAGAAAATCCTTCCCTTATCCTTGGAAAAATCTACTCATTAGACACGACACAACAACATTTAAGGAGAATGTGTTAAATATTTTAAACATGTATTCAATAAAGTACCTCTTTGACCTGAGGTTTTCTATGTAATGAGATAAAGTTGCTATTAAAAACTATCCAGTCATGAAGAAGTCCTTTTATATAAGAGATGGGGGAATAATTACTACTTGCAGCCCCTTCTAGACCCTCAGCAGTCTGTTTGGTGACTATGTTTACATTGTACTTTTTTCAATGCATCTAAACAACATGACATAAGCCTTCTGAGAACTGGAAAAGCTACAAAGGGACCAGTTTTTCACAGACCTACCTAAACTGTACACAACCTGGCTGAAAAATATGTTGCTTTATGCCCAAGTAGAAAGATTTTTCATGCTACTTGTAGATATGCTATGCAAATAATTGGATTATTTTTTTCTGGAAGAATACAAAGCATGAAGTGTAAGTTTTTGGGCAGTTTCCCTATATAATTCATCAAAATTGCAAAAAAGATGATAACAAAAGCAAAAAATTATTAGTGAAAGGAATCTGTGAGGACCAAATATGACAGATTACATAGTCCACTGAGTATTTCTGCATCATATATATTATTCCCACACCACTGTCTTGCCCTTTGTTCAAAACACAAAGACATGGGTTAGAGAAATCCTTCATAACACTTCTGTCTCCCTAATAAGACTTGCATGATGCTCCAAGGAAGTCACAATTTAATTTTCATATAACTGTAAGATAACAATATTTAAAACGACTCTCTCTTCCCAAGGGATGGAAGATGAGGGACTTTCCAAACACAATTTTCCAAGAGTCATATAACATACCTTTATAACATAAAGGTATTTTCTAAAAAAAAAAATGTTTACCTTTTTAGTATTGATATAAAACTTTTAGTCTAGGAAAGCCAAATTAACCACAATAATGACCATGAATGCCTTCTCAATTGCTAGTTTATCTTATAAATTGGTTTTGGAGTACAAAGACAGTTGTACTAAAAAACAATATCCTACACCATTTTCAAATATCAGTGGAATTTCTCACATTTTGAGAAAAGCATGTTCATTAAAAAAACTATAAAAATTACCATGAGTGGGGATAAAAGGATAATTAAAAAGGTAATATAGTCTTCCTGGAACACCATTATACAGTATTTCTGCATTAATAGATTTAAAAGAGACAAAATATAGACCTGCTTTTCAATTAAAAACTCATAAAATGCAGAACAATTTTATTAAGCATTTAGTTAATTTTAAAAAGTGACCTCTAAATATTTTCTGCTTTTGAACTTCTTAGGTTTTGGTCTAAACAGTTTGAAAAAATATGTGATATCAGGGTTGGGACTAAGAAAAAAAAGAGGAAGAGTTGTGAGTGAACGCTTTCAAGTTCTTTGTTCTCATTATGCATCAGAATATTTATGTGCAGCATTTAAGGCATAAAGTGAAAATGCAGTTGAATCTAAATGTTGCATTTTGCATTTTAGAATTCCAGTTCTCTAATTTATGGTCTGCACTTAAGATGGCTAAGGAAGCAGAATATATTAATAAAATACTCTGAAATATAATCCTCTGTAATTTTGCATCATGTTAGTGTGTTACATATCCTCCTAGTATCTATTTGAGGAGGAAGTACAGAGCAAATGGTAAGAAAACATTTGTTTTTCCACAATACTCTGCTAAAAATCACTGAATACGTTATACTTTAATGCACTAAGTCTGGTAGGTATTGATATTAAAAGCTATTTAAATGAGTAATAAATTGATGTCATGAAAATAAATCTTTTAAAATGCAGGAGATTAAATCTATGTTAGCCCTTCTTGAAAGTTTTTATGGGTGTAAGTATTAAAACATACACAAAACTGCAAAAATTTTCCTCAAAAAGATAAATACTAAAATTCTACATTCAGATTCTTGGAGATACTGCTCATAATCAAAACACAAACACAAAGCCCTTCAAAAATGCATCAAGTATAAGCTGGCTAAAAGCTAAGAGATAATTCAGGAGACATTATAGGAGCATCTTATATTATTTTATTTATTTTACTTAAAAATATTGGTCAAGAAATTATTAGAATCAAGTAATAAAGTCTACATATTTAAAAACATTTTAAATATCTAACAAATCATAAATTTAAAGAAAGATGAAAAATCATGACTATTTGGACAACCAAAACTGAAATGCTGTGGTAGCCAAATCTGAATTTTCTTCAAATTGAAATAAATCTGAATAGTAAAGGGAAAATTTCCCTTCACCAAGAAAGAGATTTCAAACTGAAATTCCTTAAAGTAAGGAAAATGAATCTTTAAAACTGTGTTGTGACTGACTCAGATAAACAAGGTTAAACCTTACTTTCTGAAGTGATGCCTCATTTGGGACTAAAGGTTTTTCTGCCTCTTGCTTTCACAGTTGAAAAAGACCACAACACTACCAGTACCCCAGGCTGCACAAAAAAATCTGCCAAGCATAGGCACAATCTAATTAAATTCAGTGAATTAATTCCATTTTTGAAATTAACAAAATAATATCATACAAACTTTCAGTTTTACAAGCAGATAATCAAGTTTTCATAAAATTCAAATGCTACATACTAGTCATAATCCATAAGTCAGAAAAAGCAATTTGGTCCAATAATTTATTTGCAATGCATTTAATTACCTTGAAATTTGAAAACACAACCCAGAGTCATACCATATGACAAGAAAGACTGCTGCACATTAGAATGCTATTTTAACATGCAAACTATATCTGATTAAAAACTTGTACAA